TCAAACCAAACACACCCCCAAACACCCTGCCAGCCCCCCCGCCCCGATGGCCTGGCTGCCTCACCCGAAGCCGTCAGAATTGCTTCCTGGGAAAACTCGCTTCCACAGGAGTATAATCTCCCCCGAGTGTACATACAGCATCCAACCTTAAGAGGTTTCATTCAAAGCTGTTAAAGCAGGGAAACGGTGGCCAAGATACTAAAGAGGAAATAAAATAACAAAGATAAGCAATATTAGACTTATGAGTGGCCAGACCAGAGGGGAGAGGGAAAAACAATGGAATACGTTGTATTAGTGTTGTTGAATTAACGACAATTTCACAAGAGGAAGTCTGTGAAATGGTTAATGCTCTTAGCCTGCATAAAGTTGGGTTTGGGTTGTTTTTTTTTCTAATGATACTTCCATCTTTTGATTTCAAACTGTGAATCAGCTGTGACTGAAGCAAAGCCGGCTCCTGTGTGAAGGAGACCGGGGCTTTGCCTGCTCCTCAGGCGAAGGCGCGGGATAGTTAACTCGGGGAGTCCCCTAGTGGAAATGCTGCTTATACGGGCCAAACAGCTGTTTTCCTGGTGTATCTTAAAACGATTATCCAAGCAAAATGTTTGCTTTGGGGCTTTTGTTGACCTGTTTATATCCACCATTGGGCAACAGTAACCCACCAGATTTGAAAAATAAACCAAACCAAGGTGTCACAACTATTAGATTTTTTTGACTACCTGGAGTTGAGCAGTCATAACCTGTATTTTGAAAAGGGAAAAAAAATAAATCGATCCTTAGTCTCCTGCTATTACCTTGTGTACACCTACATCAAGTTTTTTTTAGACACCATTTAGCACTTTCACAATATATGGCGATTTGTGGGTGTGTGTGTTGGTGAGTTTGCATCAGTGTAGCCCTGAGCCTTCTTTTGGTGTTGCTACAGTCTTCCAAAATACAAAGAAATAATAGTTAACTAGTAGTAGTAAAGTGGCAAAACTTACTCCCATCAGTCTAGATGTTTTCTCTGACACCAAGGATATGCACCAAAAAGTTTAATTTATCAGTCTTTAATCTGAATTACTCATGTATCCACTGTTAATTTTATGTTAGTGGGAACTGTCAATATGGCTTCAATATGGGCCCTTAAATCTTCATGTGTTCCAAATTTCCTCTGCTTAAAATGGAGAACATTATGTAAGATATGTCTACAAACATAATTTTTTGAGGGCAAGCTAGACTTTGATCTCTCTGTCATGTCAATTAGACGACTTCAGCTCCTTGAGTTGTTGGATTGGGAGATAAAAGGTAGTGCGGTTCCTCAAAACTGTGATTTGAGGTTTTGTGTGGTTTATTGTTATTTTTTCCTAGTACAACTTACTGAGGACAAAAGATGAGGTACATTTTCAGTGCTTGAAGAAAATCTCAACGATAATGTTTTTACATCTTGCAGAGATATTTTGTAGTTCATCACTTAGTACTAATGCTGTTATTTTAGAAGTCTTATTTTGAGTTGGTTTGTATTTTCTTATATTACAAGTCTGTTTAAACACTTGAATTTCTTAATAGATGCTTCCCACTTCTGGGCAGATGGCATTTTTTGGAGAGGATGTCAGCTTTGCTCTGTGCATTAACAAACAATAGTAGTAACAATTAGTAACTGGTTTGAAAACGCAACATCTTGTTTGATCATTGTTTCTGGCATATTGTTTTTGAAACACAATCGACTTCTGTTGTCCTAGAGCTGTAAATCCTGAGTGTATTCCTGAGCTTTTTTTTTTCTTCTTTTTTTTTTCCTAGGTGGCAGGGCATTGCACTTTTATCTGCTGCTAAACCATCCTCAGCTTAATAAAAAGTTGTAGTATTGCTGTCTGCTACACCTAGATTTGAAGACCTGACAGGCTTCTACAGGTAATTTAATTTTATTTTATTCCAGGTTTAAATGAGATATTTATTACGTCTAAAATTTTAGTTCTTTTTTTAATTATCCCTTGATATCAGATCTTTTACTCTGAAGAATATGAACTGATCTGTTTGAGAAAGAGAAAGCTTAAAAAAAGGTTTTTTTCAAGTATTTCAGTTCTGTTTTGAATATAAGTTATCATATCCAGCACAACAAAATGGAGTTTCCCATTCTTCTATTCCTTTCTTTATATGATGAGCTTTGGCAAACCACAAATATCTGTCATGTGGCCTAAAAGATTTTTTTTTAAGAGGTGGGATAATAGTGATTTCCTTACCAGTATTGATAATTAAGTTCTGTAAGAAAGAAAGAAGAATTCCCTCCTGCTGGAAATAGCCACGCAGATTTGCCTTTCTATTTTTTTTTTTTAAAGTCAGTGTGGCTTATTAGCAACCGGGATCAATAGCAGTCAATACTAACCAGGAGCTGCTGAAGTCTAGTGTAAGTTATCTTAAGGAGGACATACTTCATTTGCAGAGAGTTCTTAGTGAAATGTGTCAGGATCTCAGGTTCTGTGTTAGCTTGTGTTATTATCCCATCACCCCATCTACAGTGGAGCTGCTCCTGTTTCACAGAGATATGGCCATGGTAATCATTTGGCTTCACACATGTAATACTACATTCAACTTCAGCATCCAATTGTGCCACAGATTTACAGTGGCAGTGGAGAACATGGATTTGCTAAAGAATCTAATGTTGGTATTTCAACTGCTGCAGCCTAGTAGCTGTTGTTACCTCACTATTGAATTGTCTTTTTGACTAAAAGTTATGAACATCCAGAGTGTTGGTTTCCGAACTTAATGTCTCCTTCATTATTTCATTGTACTATTGTCTCTGACAGTAACTTTGAAGCCTGTATTTATTTAAGCATGTATATCTGCACGTTTCCAGCAGATGGCAAGATATTCCTAGGCAACTGTCTGGGAAACAGTTGTATATACTATGCTTATAAGTGCTAGTTCTTTATTTTAATGCT